CACACACACACACACACACACACACACACACACACACACACACACACGAAAGGCAGCAAGGCCCCCCCAGCCCTCCTCGAGCTTCTCACCTGCCACTCCCAGGAGTGGTGAGGTCCAAACAAGCGCCAGGAAGGGCCCCTCCAGGCCTTGGGGCCACAAAAGGCAGCACTGCCCAGCACCCATCCTGTGTGCCCCTTTCTGAACCAGCTCTCCAGAGGACTCTGGGGCCCGAGACAGTCCTGAGGATCAGTTCCGGCCTCCCCTCTCCCACTCCCAGCCCATGGACAGTAGGCTTGACATAGAGTCCTAAGCCTTGGCTCTCTGTCAGGGGACCCGAGATGGTCCTCAGAAAGGCGATGCTCTCTCACACCTCCAGGCTTCTGCTGGGACATTGCTGCCTCTTCTTATTTGTCTGAACATTTACTACTCCTCCTTGGAGGATCGGCTCAAGTGTCATCTCCCTATACAGACCTCCCTTATCTCTCAGGAAGAAGGAGCCTCCTTCCCTGCTGGGATCCCACAGGAAGGGTCCTGGGCAGACTCCCATCATCATAAGCCCTGTTCGCATACCTCTGTCCTCTAGACTCGAACTTCCTGATAGACTGAATCTTCTGTTTTTCTTGTGCTCAATGCGTGTTTGTGTTGAATGGATGGAAAAATGGTTGAATGGATGGAGGGTGGGCGGGTGGATGGATGAGTGGAAGAATGGAAGGATGGACAATGGAGGGGCGGATGGATGGATGGATGTGTGAGTGGAGAGATGGGTGGGTAGAAGAGTGGAAGGATGGATGATGGATAGATGGGTGGATGGGTACAAGGATGAAAGGACTGGAGGGGTGGCTGGCTGGATGGCCAGGTGACAGATGGAAAAACAGGCTCTCCTTTAGGAAGCGGTAGGCTCTGAGCCCCCTGGCTGGCCTCTCTCAGTGCTCCTCTAGGCTTGCTTCTGAATCTGATCAGTGTGAGAAGGTGACTGAGTAGCGGCTCTATGCCCAAGCCCCTCCCCTGAGGCTCTGGTTCCTCCTCTCTTCTGCCTTCCCTGGCCCGTCCAGACTCTGAGCTCACCTGTTCATGGTGATATTGGGGCTCTGGTCCCGCTCCTCTGACAACACATGGAAAATCCAGTCCTGGAACCCAAAAAGGCAGCTGAAAACAATGGTGCCCTGCAGCATCCCCTCCCAGTCATGGGCCCTGCTACCTGTGGAGGCAGACCACAGCCCTGTATCTTCTTGAAGCCCCTGGGGGACCACGTGTTGGCCCAGGGAGAAAGGGGAGGGTGACAGCACACGCCGTGGCTGCTGTTCTGAGGAGAATGCACTCGGCTCTCTAGGCTCTCCCCCATAGGCCCGGCCTCCCTGTGCCAGCTCTTTCCCACCTCTGACCCTTGCACCTGCTGTTCCCTCTGCCCAGATCCTCCCCAGACCCGCCCAGCCTGGCTCAGCCCCATCCTCCAGTTTTAATCAAATGTCACCTTTTTAGGGAGGTCTTCCCTGACTACCCTAAGGCCTCTTCCCCCAGTTAGCCTCTCATCATCTGGTCTACCCTACACAGCCATTTGAAATGATCTTATTTCTGTATATTGTCTGTCTCTCCAGGTAGAAAGTACGCTCCGTAAGGGCAAAGGACTGTGTGTCCCGCTTACTGCTGTGGCCCCAGCACAGTGCTTGGGGGACGTGGGTGGAAGTAAGCAGGGAGGGAGGGGAAGGAGGGAGGAACCCCCCTCTGTAAAGTTCCAAACAGCCTGCAGACCTCTGCCCAGACCTGCCTCCCACCCAAAGATGGGCAGCCAGGAGCTTGGCCGCGCCCCTGACTCACCTCAGAGGACTCAGAAGGCCAGACGGCCATGGAGATGGTCATCTTGTACTGCGTGTCACTGGAAGAGAGAAGGCAGCCTGTCACTGTCCCAGCTGCCCCACCATCCACAGCCCGCCCCGCCGCCCACACGAGCCTCTGGGCAGGACTCACTTGCAGGACTCCTTACAGACATCGATGCAGGTCTCCCTCTGCGCCAGGCTCGTGCGCAGGGCGGAGTAGCAATAGGCTGAGCGGTAGGGGGTGGGGAGAGAGACTCTGAGCGGGGTTTTGTGCTTTGAGCCTCAGGCTGCCCTCTGCCCTCCTGGCCCTGGGCCACCTAAGGCCTGTGCTTAGGTTGAGTGGGGGAGTTGTCTCAATCCGAACCCCCCTGGTCACGGAGAATCACCTACATCCACCCCCAACCCGCCCCGTCGCCAGCCATTTCACCCCAGCCTGGCCTGGTGGATCCTCTCCCCAGACAGCCCAGCCCCAGCTCAGCAGCATCAGAGCAGCTTTCCCTCCACCTGTCACCCGATCCTGGCCGGTGGGCCGGGGTGATGGGGTCATGTGGGAAGGGATGGGTGGCTGGAAGGGGTAAAGTTTTCCCCTCTTGTCCACACATTTTGTTAGTTTTAAGAGGTGGTAGGGGGCTTCCCTGGTGGTCCAGTGGTAAAGAATCCGCCTTCCAATGCAGGGGATGCGGGTTCGATTGCTGGTCAGGGAACTAAGATCCTACCTGCCACAGGGCAACTAAGCCCCCGGGCCACAGCTACTGAGCACGTGCGCCTCAACTAGAGAGCCCGTGTGCCGCAAACTACAGAGCCCATGTGTTCTGGAGCCCACGTGCCACAACTAGAGAAGAGAAAACCCACATGCCACAGCTAGAGAGAAGCCTGCGCGACGCAACAAAGAGCCCGTGCGCTGCAACGAAAGATCCCACACGCCTCAATGAAGATCCCATGTGCCGCAACTAAGACCCGATGCAGCCAAAAAGTAAAATAAATAAATAAAAGGTTAAAAGAAAAAGAGGTGGTGGGATGCTCTTTGCTGCTGACAACATCCATCGGTGTTTGGACTCCAAGCCTGGATCCCAGCTCAGTGTGAGCCCAGCAGGGGCTCCTCCGCCTGTGGCTTCAGGTCTCAAGGACAAATTCTCTCCCGAACATACATGTTTCAAGTGTAGTTAATGGAGTCGAAGAGTAGGGGGAGAGGCGAGAGGGGCTGTGGTCTGAGAGGACGGGGACGGAGGGCGTGGAGCTCCGACCTCCCTTGTGGTCAGGGCCTTCGGGGGCAGTGGCCCAGCTGGCGGGTGGCCGGTCCCCCGGGGCTCCCCACTCACCCCAGTCTGGGAATTCCTGGTTGTTGCAATATTTCTCTCCACGGGGCAGCGGGTACAGGTAGTGGCCACAGCTGCAGTTACGGATCATGTGGTCTTGGAAGCAAGAGCGAATACAGGCCTGGGGGTGGAGGAGGTACAGAGAGAATGCAGACTTGACGGTGATGTCCCCGTCCCAGCCCCGGGGGAAGGGGGCCCGGAGAGCTTGCTGCCCAGGCCACGGGGGCTGGGGAGCGGCGGGGAGGGGCACCTCCCGCACAGAAGCAGTGGCTGAGCCTCCTCCAAGTTGGGGCGTGGTGGTCCTGCCCTGTCCCTGGCCCCCGTAGAGGGACTCGGGCCAGAGGCCAGCTCTCTGAGGATGGCCCCTGCCACCTTTCAGAGTTGGGGCCCCACGGATGACATGGGGAGGGGTGGCTTGTTCCAGCACTAAAGCGGACTCTGAGGGACTTCCCTGGCGGTCCAGTGGTTAGGACTCTGCGCTTCCACTGCAGGGGGCACGGGTTTGATCCCTGTTCAGCAAACTAAGATCTGCATGTGGCCAAAAAAAAAAAAGCTAACTCTTAGATAGCGCTTGTCACAAGGCTGCCAGCAGCTTTCCGAGCCCTTTACGTGGAAGGACCCAGAAGGGAAGACAGGCAGGCTTGCCCTGTGCTCCTTCTTCCTGGAGAGAAACACTCAGGGAAGGCGAGAAGTGTGCTGTGATTGCTCAGAGTGGATGGAAGAGGAAGTGACCTTGTACAGAATGTCCCCTGTTTGGGGATGGGGGAGGGGGAGAGTGGACTCAGCCCTCCCCTCCCCCCGCCCCGGCCCCGGGCTGGTTGAGATGAATCTACTCATACTGGGTTTTCAGGTCATTCCACTCAGAGACGAGCTATGTGTCCTGGGGCCAGCCCTTAGCCTCTGAGCCTCAGTTTACTCCTGTCGCTCCCGTCGGCTCAGGCGGGGAGCTTGGCTTGCCATGGGGCGCTCAGCGAACGGAAGCAGCCATTCCTCACGTCTCTTGCTGCCCAGGTTCCCAAGCGCTGCCTCTGGAGGACACCCTGCTCCCACCCCGGCCAAGGAGCCCACAGCTTCTCTTCCGCTCTCCTGCCTGCTGCTCCTCAGGCCAACCCATCCTCTCCTCTGTCCTCCCTGGCAAACCTGGGGGCTCCCTGCAGGAGGAAGTGGCCGGGGGGAGGTGGCAGATGAAATGGCACAGCCGGGAGGAGCGGGTCTGGGGCGAGGTCAGGGGCAGTGGCGTCAGAAGGGAGCCCTGACTTGGCCAAGTGTCTCCCACTCGCCCAGACCCCACTGTCTCACCTGGAAGGAGGGAGTCCTGTCCAGGGCCCAGCTGAGGCTGGGCTAGGGCGGGACCTGGGCGGGCCGAGCACTAGACCAGGGCCTGGGGCTCTGCCAAGGTCTCCGGCCAGAGTGGTGACTGCACTGGACTGGACGAAGCAAGAACTGAGGTTTTTCTAGAATGAGGCCTCCAGGGCTGGGGCCTGATGCCTCTGGCCTCCCCCTCCATGCTCCCCACCTCCCTGTGCTGTCTTGTCTGTCCATCTGTCCTCCCTCCAGAGGCTTGGAAGGTTCCCTGAGCTCTCCATCGCAGGCAGAAGCCTCTGTAGACAGGAGCGTCAGAGTGTGGGGTGCCTGGGGTCAGCTGGATGGAGTGGGCGGGCAGGCGGGCATGGGGGAGAGTGGAGTCCCCTGACTAAGGCAAACGGGAAGACCACACCTTGCTTGGGGCTCTCAGACACGGAGCCAGGCACTGCTCTGCCATGGCCCTTGTTATGCCTCAGTTTCCTTATCCACCAAGGAAGACTGGGCTGGGAGAAAAAGTGTCAGCAAGTGGTCACTTTTGCAAAGACTCAGTGTGTCCTTCTCCACTGGGGCCAGGTCTGAGGCCAGGCCTCCTGGGCTGACCTTGGAGATCAGCATAAGGGGGAAGCCCCCAGCTGCAGCAAGGGGGATTGAGGCCAGATACAAAGAGGGATTTCTCAGGTACATCAATGAGGCATTTGGACTGGGGTATGTAAACCCCAGTTTCTTCATTCCTAATCATAGTATCTACATCTTAGGGTTGTTGTGAGGGTTAAAAGATTTAACGTATGTATGTGAAGCACGTGGGACAGTGCCTGCCTAGCACACAATAAGCCTGCCGTTATTAGTATATTAATACTTATAATAAATGGCCTATATAAAAATGCTATTAATAGCATAATACGTTAACAATAATTAGTAATTATTGTTAGTATATTATTGCCCGTAGGGGTATTGAAAGGATTAAATGATGATGTAATTCACGTAAACCCTTAGCATACACAAGGCTTCTTCTTGGGAGACCCCAGAGCGAGACCCCAAGGGCACACCTACAAAGCAGGGTGGAGAAGCGGCCAGCCCTGGGCCCCGGTGGGAACCAGGACAGGGCACCCTGTGGTCCCAAAGATCCAGCAGAGTCAGCCCTGCTGGGATTAGCTTTCCCAGAGACCTCAGGCCTCAGGCTAGGTAGACGTGGATGGGGCCCCAGCGTCATGAGGCTGCACCATCTTCCCACCTGGATGGAGTAGGTCGTGTTGTAGTCGCTATAGAGGTTTCGGATGGGGACGTCGGAGCCGTTCACGGTGCACTGGCTGTAAGGCTCGCCCTTGCGCTCCAGCTTGTCCTGTGTGAGAGGTTGTTTGTGGGGGGGCCCCTAGTCACCCCTAGGAAGCCCCCTCTGTTCCTCCCTCCCATCTAGCATGCAGGTCTAGGGGATGCTGAGAGGGGATAGAGGGCTGATGTCCCAGCAGGCGCCAGTGCTTGGGGGGCACCCATCTTCCCCCAGAGCGTGGCCGCCCGGTGTGGTTCCAGCCAGAAGGCGAGGCAGGAGTGGATGGTGAGGAGATCCAGGGCTTGGGGAGGCCCGGATCTCTGGCTCTCAGGCCCTGGGAGGTGGGCGCTGGGCAGGTGGGGTGCCCTTGGGCTGCAGCCATACCACCAGCACCCCGATGGAAGTCTCCATCCCCGACATGGCGAAGATGCCCTCTTCTTTGATGAAGGGGTACGACATCTGCTCGTGAAGCATCAGCCGGGCACCGGCTGTGGACGTGAGGAAGGGCACGTAGTCTTCCTGGCCCACGTCCAGGATCAACTTCAGGCCTGAGGGGAAGATGGGGCCGAGGGCTGCCTGAGCTCGCTCCCCAAGGCTGAAGGGACACCCACCACCCACTGGTCCAAGTCCCCTCCAGCCAAGGGTCTGTGCAGGAAGCTGGCTCCACTTTACGAAAATCCAGACTTCTTGCTTTCTCTAAGGCCCCCATTCGAGTCCAAGCCACCATGGTCTCCTCTCTGGGCTCCTTTTGCCCCCTATACCACCCGCCATGATCTCTCTTCCACAGGGCAGGTAGACCTAGGGCCACAGCACAGGCGGTCCTACCTCCAATCACACAGGTCCTCACGCTCTCCACTCACTTCCCTTTGCTGCCGTGCTGCTTCCTGCTGCTAGGACTTCGTAACGCTCTCCCTTCTCTCTGGAATGCTGTCTCCAGCCTCACCTTTCACCTAGAAACTCTTGCTCTTCCTTCAGATCTCAGCCCAAGTGTCACTTCCTTCAGAAGCCTTCCCTGACTACCTAGACTGGGTCTCAGGATCTCTGCGATATGCTCTCCTAGCCCTGGAACTTTCCTTCCAAGTACCTCTCTCACTCTTGAGATTCTTCTTTTATTATCTGTCTTCCTGCCCCACTCCACTGTTCCCTTCTTGAAGGTAGAGACCAGACCCATCATTTTATGCACCATGGGACCGGGCTAGGTGGTTAGGACAAGAAGGCTAGCATTTATTGAGCACTTGCTACATGCTGAGTGCTGGGCTAAGGGCTTTATTTACATGATCCCACTGGTGCTTTCAAGGGGCATATGAGTTAGGTACAATTATCGTCCCCATTTTACAGATGAGGAAGCTGAGGCTCATAGAGGAGAAGGGATGTTGTCATAGGTCACTCAGTGAGGAAGTGGAGGGTTGCTGGGCTTCTAAACAGGCAGCCAGGCTCCTTGATCTTAATCATCTTCTCGTATAGACTTGAGTCGACCAGCACCTCTGTGATACCCAATGTCTTCAGGGGCACAGGGGTGGTGAAGGGTGGGCAGCCCACCACACCCCTATTGACCAGCAGCCCTGACAGTTGCTGAATGACACCTGCCCTCTGATGGCTGGGGAGGGCACAACCTGAGCGGGGAGGAAGGATTTGCTCCCCAGGGCCTGGTGCACATGCCGAGTCCGCCAGCCTTTCTCCCCAAATGAGCAGCCTCTGCTGTCAACCGCTTCCTCTTCCTCCCTTCTGTTACTACTTCACCTGCTCTCTGTCTCTCAAGAACTGCACAGAAACAAGGCTGAGAGGAAGGGCTCTGCCCCAGGGTAACTATGTGAGCATGGGCAAATTATTTACAACTTCTCAGAATATCTGCATTTATCGAGCATTTGCTACTTGCCAGGCTTAGAGACAAGGCTGCTTGCTCTGTGCTCAGAGGTCTACCTGCCTTAGGCCAGGATGATTCGATGAGTTCTATATTATATATATGCTCTGCTCTGTTTGATATGGGGAAACAAGGGCTTCGAGAAGTTAAGTCACAGCTCAGCCTCATCCGGGGATAAATGGTGGAGCTGGGATTCCACCCAATCACAGAAGCCTGTGCTCTCGACCACTAAGCTTACTGCTACCTCGCTTTCCTCATCAGCAAAATGAGCACACCAGGCACTACCCCAGGGATTTACGAGCGTTGGGTGGGGGGATGGCCTAGCCCCCGTGCACACAGTAGGTGCCGGCCTCCCTCTAACCTCGGTCCTGCCCCTCAACGGCCAATGGTAATTTGGTCTTTCAGCCCCACGTGATAGGATTTAAATCCTCACGGCCCTGGCTCCAGGACAAACCAACACTTACCAAACTCAGCTCCGGGGTTGGCTGAAGGGAGGGCCTTCTCCTTCATGCCCCAGTTGAAGATGTAACAGTTGCCATAATCAGGGTGGAAGATGCGTGTGAAGTTCCTGAAAGAAACACCATAAGCTAGAGAGCAGGGCCCACCCCACCCCATCTGATGCCTCCCCTGCCCAGGGCTCGGGTAGATTACTGCTCAGAGAGGCTTAGGAAGGGAGAGGTGAGCAACAGGTCATTCTGTCCCTTTACCTGCACCCATGCACCCACCAGAGAGGAGATTCCTGGACTCCCTTAGGAAAGAAGGGTGAGGAAGGGTGGGACGAGGCTCTCTGGCTTAGCCATGAGTGATGAAAAAGAAGATTATTTGATGTTTTCATGTCTCATCTACACGGTCTTGTAAGTCATGTGGTCATTTAAACGGTGGCCCCCAAAAAGAGATGTCCACGTCCTAACCCCAGGGACCTGGGAGTGTGATCTTATTTGGAGAAGGAGTCTTTGCGGACATAATTCAGGATCTTGAGATGAGATCAGCCTCTTTTATCCATGTGGGCCCTAAATCCAACCATGAGTGTCCTTAAAGAGACAGAAGAGGAGACACAGATACAGAGGAGAAGGCCATGTGAAGACGGAGGCAGAGACTGGAGTTACACAGACAGAAGTCAAGGAACACCTGGGCCCACCAGACGCTAGAAGGGGCAAGAAAGGATTCTCCCCTGCAGCCTCTGGAGAGAGCCTGGTCCTGCTGACACCGGGACTGCCCACTTCTAGCCTCCTCTGTGAAAGAATAAATTTCCGTTGTTTTAAACCACCCAGTTTGTGGTCATGTGTTACAGCAGCCACAGGAAACGAATACAGATCATAAGAGTGAGAGGGCGGCTCCAGGCAGTGTTTGCTGCAAGGAGCTGGCAGAATGCAGACAGGTGGGCTTGTCGGGGAACCTCGGGAGCTCAGGTAAAGAGGAAGGTAGACGGAGATGGAGGGCTGCGAATCAGGAGGGCGTACAAGCAGAGGCCAGGAAAGAGAGAACTTCACAACGAGGTGTGAAGAGCCCCATCTAGGATCCTACCTTATGTCATGAGAATGTCTCCTAAGGAAATAATTCAGCAACAACACAAAGTGTTTGCATAAAGATGCTCATGGAAGAAGCGACAGTATAATGTAGTTTCAGATAATTTGGTTAATTTTTTTTGATATGGAACTTTTCAAACATAAAAAGTTGAGAGAATGAAGCCCACCACCAGCTTCAACAATCCCCTACGGGACTTCCCTGGTGGCGCAGTGGTTAAGAATCCACCTGTCAATGCAGGGGACACGGGTTCGAGCCCTGGTCTGGGAAGAGCCCACATGCCTCAGAGCAACTAAGCCTGTGCGCCACAACTACTGAGCCTGCGCTCTATGAGACCACGAGCCACAACTACTGAGCCCACGTGCCACAACTACTAAAGCCCACGCACCTAGAGCCCGTGCTCCACAACAAGAGAAGCCACCGCGATGAGAAGCCAGCTCGCCGCAACTAGAGAAAGCCCGCACGCAGCAACGAAGACCCAACACAGCCAAAAAAAAAAAAAAAAAAAAAAAAAATCCCCTACGGCCAGTCATGTTTCATCTCTACCTGCCCCCACTCTCCCTCCCATATTTTTGAAGAAAATCTCAGACATCATAGTTTTATTTGTTAACATTTCTATGTGTATCTCTACAAGAACTCTTAAAAAACCATGCTAAACATAACTAACAAAAATTCCTCAATATTATTAAACATTCAATTTATATTGCCTCACAGAGGTCAATTCTGGGTTTACAATTTATTTGTTTAAACTGGGATCCAAATGACGTTGACATGTGATTGGTTGATATGCCTTTGAAATCCCTTAATCTATGGCTCCCTTCATCTGACTTTTTTTTTTGTCCTTGTAAAATAGCTGTTAAGAGTTCTGGTTTCATCCAGCTAATAACTGAAGAGGGAGTGATACAATTAGAGGATCATCATTTTGCACCCCCGATTTTGGGGATTTGGGGCAATGTGCACCAGTAGTGACCAATGCTGTGTGTCCTGATGCAAGAGCACAGGCTGTCCGGGAAGTGGCCTTGCCAATAAACAAAACAACAGCAAAACCCAGCCTTGAACAGGATCGAGCATCTGTCTCTACCGTTTATAACAAATACTGGAGACAGAGGAACAAGTTCAAAGACACTACAAAAAGTCAGTATGCAAAATCCAGACTCCAGTTTCTTCAACAAAGAAATTGTGAGAGAGGGTAAGGGAGGTAACCTATAGATTAAAATAAACTACAAAGACTTGGTTACAGTCACAACCTGTGGACTTTAATTGGATCCTGATTCAAACAAGTAAACAAAAAAGTATGACATTGACGAGTGTGAACACGACTGGATAGTTGATGGTATTGAGGTATCACTGTACATCTCTTTTTCAGGTAGGATAATGGTATTGTGCTTCTGTTTAAAAAAGTCTCTTTTAAGATACATTCTGAACACTCTATAGATGAAGGAATATGACGTCTGGGATGTGCTTTAAAACAGCACAGGACAGGATGTGAATCACGCTTGTTGGTTCTGGGTGGGTAGGTCCATGTGAGTTCATCACACCCTGTTCTATCTATGTGTATGTTCTCAAGTCTTCATAGGAAATAGCATTTAAAATGTCCTTGTGTTGGGCTTCCCTGGTGGCGCAGTGGTTGAGAGTCCGCCTGCCGATGCAGGGGACGCGGGTTCGTGCCCCGGTCTGGGAAGATCCCACATGCCACGGAGCGGCTGGGCCCGTGAGCCATGGCCGCTGAGCCTGCGCGTCCGGAGCCTGTGCTCTGCAACGGGAGACGCCGCAACAGTGGGAGGCCCGCGTACCGCAAAAAAAAATAATAATAATAAAATAAAATATCCTTGGATGTTTTTATACTGTTTTTGTTATTTTATTAAAAAACAGAAAGGAATGGGGCTCAGTGCATCAAATACTGCAGAAATATCACCTGAAATGCAGTACTTTCTAAGCTTTCTGTCCCACAACTTTTACTGAGCGACTTTCAGGGGCCAGGCCCGTGCTGAAGATTTCTAATTCTCAAAATAACCCCATGAGGTCAGCTGCTCTTTGTCCCTGTGTTCAGATTAGGAAACCATTTCCTATATCTTTTGTCTCACCGTCTGTGCCAGCAGAATGAGGTGGGTCCAGGGCAGGCAGTGAAATCCAATCTGGGAGCTGACCCTGCCTGACACATGTGAGCTGCCTCCTCAACCTCTGAGCTTTGGTGTCCTCCACGGTGAAAGGGAAATCAGGAAGAAAGTGCATTTCTTCACCCAACATTTATTGAGGAGCGCACTGCGTTGGGGACACTGAGGCTGGCGAGACAGCCCTACCCTCGAAGCTCACAGCGTGGGGGACACTACGGAGCAGCGTTACGGCAATCCTCTCTTTCCAAAGTGCGTCTCTGGCCTAGCTGCCTGCCTCCACCTCCAAGGCTCCCAGCCTGGTCCAGGCCGCCGGCATCTCCTGCCCCAGTTCCTGCTGGAGCCTCTGCCTCCCCGGTCCTGCTCCCTCAGTCTTCCTCCTGCACAGTGGTCAGGGTGAGTGTTCAAGTTGTGAATCAGCCCACGGCACGCCCCTGCTAGAACCTTCCAGAAGCTCCTTGCTGCTCACAGAATAAAATGCAAACGCCCTACTGGGCTTTCTCCCTGCGTTGTTCATTATACTCCAGAGACACTCCAAGATGTTTCCAAATTCAAGGCCCGCTCCTCCTTGGGCCTGGGATGTTCTCTGAGCGTCCCCTGACCTCCCTACGCAAAGTCACTTCCCGGTTACTTGACCATTTCCACCTGCTTATTCCCCTGCGGGCATGCGCAGAAGCTGAACTCATCTCCTTTAACTGCTTGCCTCTTGTTTTAGCCCATAATCCCAGGGAGGGCAGCTGTCTGTTTGCAGGGAGAAAGAAGTTAAAGGCTAGGAGCTCAGGCCCGGGAGCCAAGCCTGCCCAAATTTGAATTCTGGCTCTGCCACTTACTAGCTGGTGAGCCTGGGGGAAGTTACTTCACCTCTCCGTGTCTCGTTTCTCCACCTGTAACACTGGGGTAACCACAGCGCCCACCCAAAGGGACTGACGTGAGGGTTGGAAGCCAAGCACACTGAAATACTGAACAAATTCACCCCCCATCCTCAGAGCCTGGCACTCGGTAGACACTCAGTAAATATTTGTTGGATAAATTATAGTATGTGGTAAGAGTATCAACAGAGATAAGCCTGGAAGAGTGGGCGTCGGGGTAGGGAGTAGGTCAGGGAAGGTTTCATGGAGGAGGTGAGGCCTGAGCTGAGACTTCAAGGGTGAGTAAGAGGTAGCCGAGCCTGGCGGGTGGGGAGGAGAAAGGGCAGCCCAGGCAGGGGGCACGACACACGCGAAGTCCCAGAGGGAAGAAACAGCTTTGGGCAGGCACTACAGAGTCTCTGTCCTGTGTGGGATCAGGGCTGTGGCCACAGGGAAGGAACGGAGCAGGGCAAGCCAGCTGCAGCCAGGCCCTGTTCTGGAAGGAGAGGCCCCACCCCAGGGGTGTGGGGATACGGTGTGCCCAAGGAGCTGTCCTGGACATCTACAGCTCAGGAGCGGGAGGTGGCTCCGGCCAGATCCCCTCCTGTCCCGGGTTGCACTCTCAGTCTTGCCAACTATTTGCTTGTTGATAATGTTCTTTACCTGGAGAGGCTGCTCCCAGCACTGGCTACCTCCGGCTCCAGAGCTAGGCGCTTCCCTCCAAAAACCTTCCCTGGAACAGAGGCTAGGCGTATAGACAGAGACCAGCAGGCCTCCAGAAAAGACTGGGAAACAGAGCATCCTAGCAGGAAGCAGTATAACAACAGTGGTACTGTGTAGTAGGGTTTGGGGAAGGTCAGGAACTAGCTGGCCAATCCCTGAAGCAATAATAACAACAACAACAACACTTATAGATGCCTAGATCTTGGTTTCTAAATACCATTCTCCAATAAAAGGACTGGAGCTCCTCAGAGAAATGGCTGATTCTAGGACTGGGGCATCTTGTTGTGCCAGAAAGTAAGGAAGTACTTAAAAAATAAATAAAGGGATGGGAACAGGTCAAAGAGACATAGGAGCCAACTGAAGGAGCTCTCAGTGGCCAAAGATGGAAAATTTTGAGTAAGAAAATAGTGTGGTATTGGATTACAACCCAAATATACATGAGTCCATATTGGTATAAATTAAGAGACTGAATAAATAAACAAATGGAGAAGACATAAATCTTCCTTACAGAAGAATTCCGAATAGTGTATGTTCCCCTCTCCAGGAGAAGTGGAGTTTAGTCCCTCTCCCCCTGCCGTCACCTCCACCCGCCAGAGCACAGGCTGAACTTAGAGACGTGCTTCCACGATACAGAGCACAGGCGGGGCAAAGTGGTTACGTTAGAGTGGAGAACCCAGCACACAGCACCTGCACCTCGGAAGGCCAACATCGCGGGTGGTGTCGAGCGCCTAACATGTACCCCACACACCATGGGATGAGAAGCGCCTCACCTCTGTGGTCTTCTTCCCCCAAATCCATCTTATCTGTGTAACCCCAAATCAAAGCCTTTCTATAAGACACCCAACCAGTACTCTGAAACTGTCACAATCATCCAGAACAAGGAAGTCTGAGAAAGTGTCACAGCCAGAATGGACAAAGGAGGCGTGACAACCGACAGCAACCGACAGGGGTCTCTCGGATGGAATCTTGAACAGGAAAAGGTCACCAGGAAAAACTGACAAAATCCAAATAAAGTGTTAGGTGTATTTAATAATGATGTGCCCATGTCGGTTTCTTAGTTTTGATAAATTACTATGGTGATGTAAGATGTTACCGAGAGGGGAAACTGGGTGAGGAGTACAAGGGAACTCTGTACTCTCTCTCTGAAACTTTTCTATAAATCTAAAGCTATTCCACAATAAAAAGTTTATCTTTAAAGTGCTCATATAATTCTTAACACATGCTCGGCACTGTTCTAGGCACTTTTTTGTTTTTCTTGTCTCCTCTACTTTTTTTTTTTAACATCTTTATTGGAGTATAATTGCTTCACATAAGCACTTTATCTATGTTAACTCATTTAATCCCCATGATAGCCCTATGAGGTCATTTCACTATCCCCATTTTCCAGATGAGAAAATTGAGGCACAGAGCGGCTAAGTAGCGTGCCCAACAACACACAGAGCTGGCATTCAAATCTGGGTGCTTTGGTGTCAGGGTCCAAACGTGGCTCACATGTTCCTAAAACTGCAGCTGCTGCGTCTTGAGCATTTGCCACATACGAGCAGGAGAGGAAGGAGTCCAGAACAGAGTGAGGAAGCCGTTGTGTCTGGAGCGTGGCCCTGTGAGGGCAGAGAGAGGCACGTGTCCTCAGCACTGAGTCTGAGGCTGATTCAGGAAGGTGGGTAACCAGCTGGCTGTGGGAGTGAGCAGTAGCGCAGAGATGGGTGGACTGGGGTTTCTGTGCCAAGTGTCTGGGTCACACCCTCCACTCAGACTGCCGAGTGCTGAAGAAACAGGCTTGGGAGGGGTGGGTGGGGAGGAAAGATGATCTTGATTTCTGATGAGGTGGTGAAGTGACACAAGGTGGGCCTGGCCCAGACTGCCACCTCTGACACTCACCAGCTGTGTGACCTCAGAGATGTTGCTTAACCTCTCTGGGCAGTGGTTGCATCATATAAAACGAGGGCTTGTTGCCAGGGTCAAATTGATTTTATACATGTAAAGTGCTAAGAATAGTGCTTGGCACATCAGAAGGGCACAATAAACGTTAGCATCATTATTGAAGAATGAGTTCCTTGTCAAATGTGGGTTTAATGAGAATAATACTGAGTCTTCACTACTGTCAGCCTGTCATGCATATTAACTCATTGAATATTCAAAATAACTCTGTAGAGTAGGCACTGTTATTATCTATTTTACGGAGGAGGAAATTGGAGGCATATAAAGGTTTAGAAATTTGGGACTTCTTCCCTGGTGGCGCAGTGGTTAAGAATCCCCCTGCCAATGCAGGGGACACGGGTTCAATCCCTGGTCTGGGAAGATCCCACACGCCATGGAGCCACTAAGCCTCTGTGCCACAGCTACTGAGCCTGTGCTCTAGAGCCCGCGAGCCATAACTACTGAGCCTGTGTGCCACAACTACTGAAGCCTGCGCGCCTGGAGCCTGTGCTCCGCAACAAGAGAAGCCACCACAATGAGAAGCCCGCACACCACAACGAAGAGTAGCCCCCGCTCGCCGCAACTAGAGAAAGCCTGCGTGCAGCAACGAAGACCCAACGCAGCCAAAAATAAATAAATTAAAAAAAAAAAAAGTTAAGAAATTTGTTCAAGGCCACACAGCTCGTAAGACAGAGCAAGGATCTGAACCCAATAGTCTAACTGCAGAGTCCAGCCTTGAGCCACCCCTTCACTAGACTTACTCCCCAGCCCTAGCGACACCACAGAAGTTGTGTGGCCAGTACCGGGTGTTGCCTGCCCATCAGCCATCTTCTCTTTGGGGGACCACCCTCAGTCCATGTGACCCAAATGTGACTCGTTTTGGAGGGCGCCATCTTGGCAACAAGCAGGTCATCCCCAGGTTGCCTCTGGCCCTGGATCAGGCCTGGAAACAGCTGGCTCAGTTTAGGGGCCGTGCTGTGCGCAGAACGCACACCTTCGAGCACTGGGATCCTGCTCGATGGGAGATGCTCACGCTTCAGGCACCAGGGACCTGGCAGCAGATCCCGGTGGATCCTAGTTGAACCCACTGTCCCAACTCACTTGCACTTCAGGACATATTCTGACTGCGCAGATGGGCCATATATTTGCAATTACAGTATTGCGTCTCTCTCTTTTAGCTGAGAGGGTAAAAGATGAACTTGTGGGCACAGCACTAGTCCATTGCGTACCAACAGCCTTCAGGCAGGGCTGCCAGGGATGGTTGGGCAGGTGTGCTCTGAACCAAGTGCCCTGGCCCAGAGAGAGGGTTGGAATCCAGCCTGTCACCAACCAGCCAGGAGGTGTACCATCAGCAGGGGGCCATCACGTAACTCTTCCACCTGTAGGACTGGCCTTTTCTGATTCTCACAACGGACCAAATGTGCAGCGCTGCCTCCTCAGTGGGCCTGGATTCCGTGACACAGCCTACGAAATGCCTGCCTTTCGAGTGCCTGTGCGTTTTGGGGGACAGAGGGTCCACAGCTGTCAGCAGATTCTCAACAGAGGTCCCTGAAGGTGTACGATTTGACTGAGTTGGGCTGAGGCCACGATCCCTAGGAGGGTGAAACCGGTAGCCTGTCCCTCATCCAAAGCGGCCAGACTCAGCACAGCGCTCCATTCTCCAGAGGCCTTAAGTGTGGGAATTTGAAGCCCCAGGCCAGGAAGACGCCAGCACCTCTGGGAAACAGGACTGGCTGAAGCCCAGGGCGGGACCCAGATGGTGTGGTCCCCCTCACCCAGACGCCTGGCCAGGAAGCCAGGAGGGGGCGCTGGGGCTTCAGCAGCTCTGTCTGTACCCAGCCCCTTCCTTCCCCCGTGACCCGCCAGCCGACCTGCAGCCCCTCTGCCGGCTGCCCCAATTCGGGGACAGAGCTTGGCTCTCAGGCCCAGGGTCTGGATGGTCAGAAGCTGGGGAGGGGAAGGAGGGGGAGATCTGTGGGCTATTTGTAAGAGGACACAGGCTTTTAGGATTGACCCTGCTCTCATTCTGCCATCTTTTCAACATTGGGGGTTGTTTGGGAAAAAGGTGTTTACAGTGAAGACTTCCAGGGCCCTTAGTGCTGACATGAGCCACTTCATTTCCTTTTTTTTTTTTCTAAAAAAAAATTTTTTTTTGGAAGTTATCTGCATAATGTACTTTTGTCACTATGAATTCCTTTCATATTTTTTTAACATTTTGGAGTATAATTGCTTTACAATGGTGTGTTAGTTTCTGCTTTAAAGTGAATCAGCTATACGTATACATATGTTCCCATACCTCTTCCCTCTTGCGTCTCCCTCCCTCCCACCCTCCCTATCCCACCCCTCTAGGTGGTCACAAAGCACCGAGCTGATCTCCCTGTGCCATGCGGCTGCTTCCCACTAGCTATCTATTTTACGTTTGGTAGTGTATATATGTTCATGCCACTCTCTCACTTTGTCACAGCTTAAAGACACAGATCTACTAGAGAATGGACTTGAGGATATGGGGAGGGGGAAGGGTAAAAAATTTTTTTGTTTTTTGGCCACACAGCATGTGGGATCTTAGTTCCCTGACCAGGGATCGAACGCCACACCCCCTGCCATGGAAGCACGGAGTGTCAACCACTGGACTGCCAGGGAAGTCCCCCCTTTCATTTACTCTTCACAGCAACTCTAGGAAGTGGCTATGGTTACTGTTCCTGTCTTAGGATGAGAAAACCGAGGGCAGTAGATGCTGGGGTACCTGCACAGATCCCCAGCTGCGGGGTATTGGAGGCTAACAGCTCACAGCCGCCCCTTCTCCCGCCACCTTGCCTGGGAAATTAGGAGACCCCGGCCCATCCTCCTGGGGGTGGCACAGAGCCAGTGAGTAACTGATGGGGGCACGTACAAGGGGCTGCTCCCACGCCCCCGCCCCCACCCTCCGCTTAAGGGAGGTCGACTCTGTGGTGCGGTTTACACTCCCCGTGGATCAGGTCAGGCCTAGATGTCACCTGTGGCCACAGCCTCCCTTAGCTCAGTCCTCTTTCCTGCAGACTTTCCCTAAAGCGATTCCCTCAGTACGTGATGGGGCCTTCAGCACATCCCTGTCTCAGGCTCTGCCCCCAGAAAACCAAAGACACCTGGGCACAGAAAACTGTGGTGCCGGCTGAGTGGCCAAGCAGGGGTGTGGACCGGGATGTGGACCCTGGCTGCAGGGGGCCCGGCGGCTCCTACCTGTAGGTGCAGGCCTCCGCCCCGAAGAGGCAGGCCAGGATCAGCTGCTCGGCGGAGTAGCCCATGGCCACCAGCTCCTCGTTTGGAACCTGTGCGAAGATGTTGGTGGCCTGCAGGGCGTACCACTCCGTCACTGCCTGGGTGGCGCTGCTGAAGTTCCGGAAATTGCACGTGGTCCCATTGTGGCTGCACTGCGGGGGCAAGAGAGGTTCCTGTGGGCGGGGGCTGCTGCCAGGCCTCTGCCCTGAGGGCCAGGGCGGCGAGTGCGCTGCCAGCTGCCCTTCCTCAGGGGGCGCCTGGGTGCGGGGGCTGCCCATGGCTGGGCCGGGGGGAGTGTGTTTGCACGCACGGTCACAAGGCTCAGGCTGTCCCCTCACACACAGCTCTGCAGTCACAAGGACTCACAGGCAGCACCTGCCACCCCCATATAACATAGCCTCAGGCACAAGGGAACGCACACACGCACACACGCATACACAGACCCCGCTTTCCGACACCTGCAGTCACATGATGTCCTGGGGTCACAACTCCACACACACGTCCATGTACCTTGATTTACGCAGGCGGCACCACATTCATGCTCACGTGGGCACATCTACAGCACACACTCGGACCCTCCACTCCCCTGACTCCCTTCCCAGCCCCCTCCCCAGACATCCAGAGGCAGCTCCCTGGAGGCTGTGTGGACCATGAAGGACCCAAGACTCCAGGTCTGCCCACCCCTCGGCTGGGAGAAGGACCCGGGCCTCGTCAGTTTGAGCCGACAGAGGGGCGCAGGCCCCTCCACCATGAAGCCCAGGTCCCCTGTAGACACAGGACAGGCTAGGCCCTGACACTCCAGCCTTGGCCACTCTGCCTCTATTGGTCCTCCTGGTGGGAACCAAGGAGGCCTGAGGGAGAAGCTTCTCCTTAGTTCTGAGACAGCCCTCTCCAGGCCGGCATGGGGCGCTGTCCTCATGCCAGTTCCTGGAGGTCCTCATCTCACCTCAGGGAGATGATACTACTTAAGAGTCACTCTCGGGACTTCCCTGGCGGTGCCGTGGTTAAGAATCCGCCTGCTAATGCAGGGGACACGGGTTTGAGCCCCAGTCCGGGAAGATCCCACATGCCACGGAGCAACTAAGCCCGTGCGCCACAACTACTGAGCCTGAGCTCTAGAGCCTACGAGCCACAATTACTGAGCCCATGTGCCACAACTACTGAAGCCCGCGCACCTAGAGCCCGTGCTCCGCAACAAGAGAAGCCACGGCAATGAGAAGCCTGCGCACCGCAACGAAGAGTAGCCCCCACTCGTTGCAACTAGAAGAAAGTCCGCATGCAGCAACAAAGACCCAATGCAGCCAAAAATAAATAAATAAATAAATAAATAAATAAATAAATATATATATATATATATATATATATATATATATAAAAGGCTCACTCTGTCCTGGGCTCTGTTCTCAGGACTTTTTTTTTTGGGCCACACCCCATACCTTGCAGGATCTTAGTTCCCTGACCACGGATGGAACCTGGGTCCCCTGCAAGGGAAGCTCAGAGTCCTAACCACTGGACTGCCAGGGAATTCCCAACTCAGGGCTTTAGTTCTATTATCTCATCAATTCTCACAGCAGCCCTGCCCCATCATCATGAAGACACTGAGGTCCCCAGCCCACTTGCACACCCACACAACATGCACTCACACACACACGTGGGGCCTGACCCTGAGAGCTGGTGCAGCCACCAGGACCACGCCTACTTTACAGGTGAGGAAATGGACACAGGAAGCCTGCTAACCGCACCAAACAGTAGTAGGGCGTTGGGTCAGAGTGGGCACTGGGGCTCTGGAGCCTCGTGCTGTTTGCTGGTTTGTATGGGGGGGGGGGCTGGGTTGTGGAAGTCCTGACCACGTGGGGGGCACGGGAGGCAGTGACATCCTTCTGGGGAGTGTCTAGCCCCAGCCTGGGTCCCCAAACAAGGCTGATCATCAGAATCACCATGGAGCCTATTAACAAGACAGATTCCTGGGTCTGGGCCCAGAACTGCCCATTCAGATTCTCCAGGAATGGGACCCAGGCATCTGAGCAGTTACAGAGCTCCCAGGGGATCCCGGGGCACAGACAGGGAACCTTCTTCCTACTGCTGGCTTGCGGGCATCCCAGCATCCCAGTTATGCTTTGGCAATGACTGTACTGCATAGCTGTGGTTTTTCACCTGTCTGATATTTGTGCCTCTGTCTTTTGATAATAAGACTTAATTCCTCGTTGCTGCTGCTGTTGGCTGAGAAACATCTTTTTGTTCACAGAAAACAAGATTATGTTCTTACCAAGAAAGATGAAACCAGCTGGGTTACTTTCAAAAGACAACCAAGTGAGCACTGCAGACTAATGCGTAGGATCAATAAGAACGTGATTTTGGCACTTTTAACGTTGACAAGTTCTGCATTTCTGCTGTTTCAGTTGTACTACTACAAGCACTATTTATCAGCAAAGCCTTTGAATGCTCTTCTGTCAAAAATAACAGCCGTGGCGTCAAGATGGCAGAGGAGTAAGATGTGGAGATCACCTTCCTCCCCACAAATACATCAAAAATACATCTACATGTGAAACAGCTCCTATAGAACACCTACTGAACGCTGGCAGAAGACCTCAGATTTCCCAAAAGCTTTGCTTTTACCACTCGTCCTAGGGTTCTATCTGTCCGTTTTGTTGTTGTTTTTGTTTTTAGTATAGTTTTTAGTGCTTGTTATCATTGGTGGATTTGTTTTTTGGTTTGGTTGCTCTCTTCTTTCTTTCTTTCATTTATTACTTTTTTATTTTTAATAATATATTTTTTATTTTAATAACTTTCTTTTCTTTTCTTTTTCTTTCTTTTTTTTCTCCCTTTTCTTCTGAGCCATGTGGCTGACAGGGTCTTGGTGCTCCAGCCGGGTGTCAGGGCTGATCCTCTGAAGTGGCAGAGCCGGATTCGGGACATTGGTCCACCAGAGACCTCCTGGCTCCATGTAATGTCAAATGACGAAAGGTCTCTCAGAGATCTCCATCTCAAGCTAAGACCCAGCTCCACTCAACGACCAGCAAGCTAAAGTGCTGGACACCCTATGCCAAACAACTAGCAAGACAGGGACACAACCCCACCCATTAGCAGAGAGGCTGCCTAAAATCATAAGACCACAGACACCTGAAAACACACCACCGGACGCGGTCCTGCCCACCATAAAGACAAGATCCAGCCTCATCCACTAGAACACAGGCACCAGTCCCTTCCACCAGAAGCCTACACAATGCACTGAACCAACCTTACCCACTGGGGGCAGACACCAAAAGCAACGGGAACTACGAACCTGAAGCCTGAAAAAAGGAGATCCCAAACACAGCAAGTTAAGAAAATTGAGAAGACAGAAAAATACACAGCAGATGAAGGAGCAAGGTAAAAACCCACCAGACCTAACAAATGAAGAAGAAATAGGCAGTCTACCTGAAAAAGAATTCAGAGGAATAATAGTAAAAATGATCCAAAATCTTGGAAATAGAATGGAGAAAATACAAGAAACATTTAACAAGGACCTAGAAGAACTAAAGAGCAAACAAACAATGATGAACAACACAATAAATGAAATTAAAAATTCTCTAGAAGGAATCAATAGCAGAATAACTGAGGCAGAAGAACGGATAAGTGACCTGGAAGATAAAATAGTGGAAATAACTACCGCAGAGCAGAATAAAGAAAAAAGGATGAAAAAAATTGAGGACAGTCTCAGAGACCTCTGGGACAACATTAAACACATCAACATTTGAATTTTAGGGGTCCCAGAATAAGAAGAGAAAAAAAAAGGGACGGAGAAAATATTTGAAGAGATTATAGTTGAAAACTTCCCTAATATGGGAAAGGAAATAGTCAATCAAGTCCAGGAAGCACAGACAGTCCCATATAGGATAAATCCAAGGAGGAACATGCCAAGACACATATAAATCAAACTATCAAAAATTAAATACAGGGACTTCCCTGGTGGCGCAGTGGTTAAGAATCCACCTGCCGCTGTAGGGTTTGAGCCCTGGTCTGGGAAGATCCCACATACCGCGGAGCAACTAAGCCCATACGCCACAGCTACTGCAACTACTGAAGCCCACGCGCCTAGAGCCTGTGCTCTGCAAAAAGAGAAGCCACCGTAATAAGAAGCCTGTGCACTGTGACGAAGAGTAGCCCCTGCACACCACAACTAGAGAAAGCCTGCGCGCAGCAACGAAGACCAAACACAGCCAAAAATAAATAAATAAAATAAAATAAATTAATTTAAAAAATTAAATATAAAGAAAATATATTAAAAGCAGCAAGGGAAAAGCAACAAATAACATACAAGGGAAATCCCCATAAAGTTAACAGCTGATCTTTCAGCAGAAACTCTGCAAGCCACAAGGGAGCGGCAGGACATATTTAAAGTGATGAAAGAGAAAAACCTACAACCAAGATTACTCTACCCAGAAAGGATCTCATTCAGATTCAACGGAGAAATTAAAACTTTCACAGACAAGCAAAGGCTAAGAGAATTCAGCACCACCAAACCAGCTTTACAACAAATGCTAAAGGAACTTCTCTAGGCAGGAAACACAAGAGAAGGAAAAGACCTACAATAACAAACCCAAAACTATTAAGAAAATGGTAATAGGAACACACATATCGATAACTGCCTTAAATGTAAATGGATTAAATGCTACAACCAAAAGACACTCTGGCTGAATGGATACAAAAGCGAGACCTGTATATATGCTATCTACAAGAGACCCATTTCAGACCTAGGTACACATACAGACTAAAAATGAGGGGATGGAAAAAGATATTCCATGCAAATGGAAATCAAAAGAAAGCTGGAGTAGCAATTCTCATATCAGACAAAATTAGACTTTAAAATAAAGACTATTAGAAGAGACAAAGAAGGACACTACATAATGATCAAGGGATCAATCCAAGACGAAGATATAACAATTGTAAATATTTATGCACCCAACATAGGAGCACCTCAATACATAAGGCAAATGCTAAGAGCCATAAATGGGGAAATCGACAGTAACACAATCATAGTAGGGGACTTTAACACTCCACTTTCACCAATGGACAGATCATCCAAAATGAAAATAAATAAGGAAGCACAAGCTTTAAATGATACATTAAACAAGATGGACTTAATTGATATTTATAGGACATTCCATCCCAACAACAGAATACACTTTCTTCTCAAGTGCTCATGGAACATTCTCCAGGATAGATCACATCTTAGGTCACAAATCAAGCCTTGGTAAATTTAAGAAAATTGAAAACATATTAAGTATCTTTTCCGACCACAACGCTATGAGACTAGATATCAATTACAGGAAAAAAATCTGTGAAAAATACAAACACATGGAGGCTAAACAATACACTACTAAATAACCAAAAGATCACTGAAGAAATCAAAGAGGAAATAAAAAAATACCTAGAAACAAATGACAATGAAAACACAATGACCCAAAACCTATGGGATGCAGCAAAAGCAGTTCTAAGAGGGAAGTTTATAGCAATACAATCCTACTTCAAGAAACAAGAAACATCTCAAATAAACAACCTAAGCCTTCACCTAAAGCAATCAGAGAAAGAAGAACAAAAAAACCCCAAAGTTAGCAGAAGGAAAGATATCATAAAAATCAGATCAGAAATAAATGAAAAAGAAATGAAGGAAACAATAGCTAAGATCAATAAAACTAAAAGCTGGTTCTTTGAGAAGATGAACAAAATTGATAAACCACTAGCCAGACTCATCAAGGAAAAAAGGAAGGAGACTCAAATCAATAGGATTAGAAATGAAAAAGGAGAAGTAACAGCTGACACTGCAGAAATACAAAGGATCATGAGAGATTACTACAAGCAACTATATGCCAATAAAATGGACAACCTGGAAGAAATGGACAAATTCTTAGAAAAGCACAACCTCCTGAGACTGAACCAGAAAGAAATAGAAAATATAAACAGACCAATCACAAGCACTGAAATTGAAACTGTGATTAAAAATCTTCCAACAAACAAAAGCCCAGGACCAGATGGCTTCATAGGTGAATTCTATCAAACATTTAGGGAAGAGCTAACACCTATCCTTCTCAAACTCTTCCAAAATATAGCAGAGGGAGGAACACTCTCAAACTCATTCTACAAGGCCACCATCACCCTGATACCAAAACCAAAGATGTCACAAAAAAAGAAAACTACAGACCAATATCACTGATGAACATAGATGCAAAAATCCTCAACCAAAAAGAAAAAAAAAATCCTCAACAAAATACTAGCAAACAGAATCCAACAGCACATTAAAAGGATCATACACCATTATCAAGTGGGCTTTATCCCAGGAATGCAAGAATTCTTCAATATATGCAAATCAATCAATGTGATAAACCATATTAACAAGTTGAAGGAGAAAAACCATATAATCATCTCAATAGATGCAGAAAAAGCTTCTGACAAAATTCAACACCATTTATGATAAAAACTCTCCAGAGAGTAGGCATAGAGGGAAATTACCTCAACATAATGAAGGTCATATATGACAAACCCACAGCCAACATTGTTCTAAATGGTGAAAAACTGAAACCATTTCCACTAAGATCAAGAACAAGACAAGGTTGCCCACTCTCACCACTAGGATTCAACATAGTTTTGGAAGTGTTAGCCACAGCAAGCAGAGAAGAAAAAGAAATAAAAGGAATACAAATCAGAAAAGAAGAAGTAAAAGTGTCAGTGTTTGCTGATGACATGATACTACACATAGAGAATCCCAAAGATACTACCAGAAAACTACTAGAGCTAATCAATGAATGTGGTAAACTGGCAGGATATAAAATTAATGCACAGAAATCTCTTGCATTCCTATATACTACTGATGAAAATCTGAAAGAGAAATTAAGGAAACACTCCTATTTACCATTGCAACAAAAAAGAATAAAATACCTAGGAATGTTTTACCTAAGGAGACAGAAGACCTGTATGCAGAAAACTATAAGACACTGATGAAAGAAATTAAAGATGTGATACAAACAGATGAAGAGATATACCATGTTCTTGGATTGGAAGAATCAACATTGCAAAAATGACTATACTACCCAAAGCAATCTACAGATTCAGTGCAATCCCTATCAAACTACCAATGGCATTTTTCACAGAACTAGAACAAAAAATTTCACAATTTGTACAGAAACACAAAAGACCCCGAATAGCCAAAGCAATCCTGAGAAAGAAAAATGGCACTGGAGGAATCAGGCTCCCTGGCTTCAGACTATACTACAAAGCTACAGTAATCAGGACAGTATGGTACTGGCACAAAAACAGAAATATAGATCAATGGAACAGGATAGAAAGCCCAGAGATAAACCCACACACATATGGTCACCTTATCTTTGATAAAGGAGGCAAGAATATACAATGGAGAAAAGACAGCCTCTTCAGTAAGTGGTGCTGGGAAAACTGGACAGCTACATGTAAAAGAATGAAATTAGAACACTCCCTAACACCATACACAAAAATAAACTCAAAATGGATTAAAGACCTAAATGTAAGGCCAGACACTATAAAGCTCTTAGAGGAAAACATAGGCAGAACAGTCTATGACATACATCACAGCAAGATCCTTTTTGACCCACGTCCTAGAGAAATGGAAATAAAAACAAAAATAAACAAATGGGACCGAATGAAACTTAAAAGCTCTTGCACAGCAAAGGAAACCATAAACAAGACGAAAAGACAACCCTCAGAATGGGAGAAAATGTTTGCCAATGGAGCAACTGACAAAGGATTAATCTCCAAAATATACAGGCAGCTCATGCAGCTCAATATCAAAAAACCAAACAACCCAACCCAAAAATGTGCAGAAGATCTAAATAGACATTTCTCCAAAGAAGGTATACAGATTGCCAACAAACACATGAGCGGATGCTCAACATCACTAATCATTAGAGAAATGCAAATCAAAACTACAATGAGGTAACACCTCACACCGGTCAGAATGGCCATCAACAAAAAATCTACAAACAATAAATGCTGGAGAGGGTGTGGAGACAAGGGAACCCTCTTGCACTGTTGGTGGGAATGTTAATTGATACAGTCACTATGGAGAACAGTACGGAGGTTCCTTAAAAAACTAAAAATAGAACTACCATACGACCCAGCAATCCCACTACTGGGCATATACCCTGAGAAAACCATAATTCAAAAAGAGTCATGTACCACAATGTTCACTGCAGCTCTATTTACAATAACCAGGACATGGAAGCAACCTAAGTGTCCATCGACAGATGAATGGATAAAGAAGATGTGGCACATATATACAATGGAATGTTACTCAGCCGTAAAAAGAAATGAAATTGAGCTATTTGTAGTGAGGTGGATGAATCTAGAGACTGTCATGCAGAGTGAAGTAAGACAAAAAGAGAAAAGCAAATACCGTATGCGAACACATATATATGGAACCAAAAAAAAAAAAAAAAGCCTCTGAAGAAACTAGGGGCAGGACAGGAATAAAGACGCAGACATAGAGAATGGACTTGAGGACACAGGGAGGGGGAAGGGTAAGCTGGGACGAAGTGAGAGAGTGGCATGGACATATATACACTACCAAATGTAAAATAGATAGCTAGTGGGAAGCAGCCACATAGCACAGGGAGACCAGCTCGGTGCTTTGTGACCACCTAGAGGGGTGGGATAGGGAGGGTGGGAGGGAGACGCAAGAGAGAGGAGACATGGGGACATATGTATATGTATGGCTGATTCACTTTGTTATAAAGCAGAAACTAACACACCATTGTAAAGCAATTATAGTCCAGTAAAGATGTTAAAAAAAAAAAAAGACTTAATTCCTCCTTCAGGAAGCCACCCCTTCCCTCCGGCTCAGTCCATGTGGTCTGATAAAGGCTGACATCCTCCTCAGCTCCAGGGTACATGACCCAGGTCTGGCCAATCATGAAAGCCTGTCCTCTAGCTCACAGTGATTGGTTTAGGGGTGAGCATGTGACCTGATGATCAGTCTCAGGACTTTCACTGAGGCAATTAGGAAAGAAGAGCTTTGTTTCTGGGAAGAGCGCTAAGCTTGTGGGATATATGTCTGGCATTGCCAGGGTCTTCCACGTGGAGAGAGCCAGCCAGAGAGCACAGTCAACTGAGAGAAGAGATGAACCTAGGTGGAGAGAGATGGACTCCTGATGACGGCATCTGAACGCCTGGATCCAGCCACATCTCAACTTAATACACCCCTGGACTTCTCATTTTGTGAACCAAGGAATTCCCTGCTTTGCTTAAGCTAGTTTGAGCTGGGTCACTGGCATCCAAAAGTGTCTTGACTAACATACCAACTATTTCTAATTTTAAAAAAGCACTGCAAACATATAAAATAGGCACCGGCTCCAGCCTGTTTTTCCCCCAGCAAGACCCAGATTATTTAAAGAAAGAAACTCCCATCAGCCTCACTAGTTAGGGCCCACTGTTTGACCTGTGCCTGGGGTCCACTTACTAGTTTCATGGCTACTTTGCATCCGTGGGCACTGCAGATCCTTCCTGGTGCTGGGCTGCTGCTTGCTGAGCCATTGTAGTTGTCCTCAAAGAGGTCAAGAACCACTGGGTGACGGGGGTTCTGCTCATCGATAAAGACCAGGGGCACGTGGTTCCAGATGGTGAGGTTCAGGGCCCTGGTGGCGTTGACATGGCTGAGCTCAGGACCCAGGATCCTCGCCAGGACTGCCTCCATCAGTTCATCCAGGTCCTTCAGCAAATGCTTGACTTTGGAGTACCTGTGTGGGAGAGAGGGCAAGTCAGGGAGGCAAGAGGCAGCTTCAAAGCAGAACGACTGTAGTCTGGGATCCCCTCCTACTGCAGTGTGGCTGCCACCACATGTGAGAAGAATGCTCCTCCACCCCAAGCACTCACCTCTCTATCTACCCACCCATGCATCATCCATGCATCCTTCCACCCACCTGCTCACTCATTCATTCACCCAGTTTTTGGTGAGCATCTACTATGTGCCAAGTACTGTGCAAGGCACAGAGGATATTATGGCAAACAAAACAGAATGGGTCTTTTTCCGTATGAAATTCACAGGCTAGTGGGAAAGAATCCTAAGAGCTCACAGTTATTGATCACTTACCATGTGCCAGGTGCTAAGTGCTTCCTACATCTGTTTATTTAATCTTTGCCACAATTCTATAATCATCCCCACATATGGATAAAGAAACTCTGGGAGTTGCTGTGACTTCCTGAGCTCATCCCACTGATGAGGCCACAGAGCTGAGATTGGAACCTGGGTTTGGTGGGCTCCAGTAGGTGTGCTGTGTAGGCACGGGGCTCTGACTTCTCCCTGCCAGGAGGGATAGAGAATGCTGGGGGAGGGGCAGGTCTGCGATCCTAATTCTCCAGCAGCAATTTGGGGAACAGGAGCCGGTTTCAGGAGGGAGAAGGCAGATAGGACTGTGGGGCTGGGATCCAGGATCTTCTCTCAGCCCCTGAGGCTCTCATATTGGAAATGGTGACCAGTCAGTCTGGCAGAAATGTGTCCACACCAGCGGGTGTTCCCACCAGGCCCTGGGTGGGGGCCCCAGGCCCTGCACCCTAGTCACTCCAAAACCCAATTTATCCAAGACCTTGCCCCAGAGTGCGGTCTCCAGGGTGGTGTGTATCAGCTCTGGCTGGAGGACTTCCTGCAGGAGACAGCACTAAACCCTGGACACAGGCCCAAGTCCTGGTATGAAGGTGTACATCTGCCAGAGCTGACACCAGCCTCAGATGACGACACAACCTGTACCCTGACCATCAGACCAGCTGCCTCTGTGCACACAGGGAGAGGAGGGTTGGGTAGGTGGCGGGCTGCGGGGTAGGGGCTGCTATTACAGCCTAGATGTTCACAGCTGCTGTCGAGCTTGGTTAAGTCCTGTTTTGGAATTCATGGGCTCTGGGTTTGAATTCCGGCATGTCACTTAATATCTGTGTGACTTTGGGTAGGTTAACCTCTCTGAGGCTCTGTTCTCTCATCTACAAAATGGGGGGGGGATTGAAATATTTACCCTAGAGGGCTTTTGGAGGATTCAATTAGGTGATGCTTATAAAGCAGGGTGTGTTATTATTATAATTATTAAGAGTTTTCTCAAGTAGCTTCAAAGACCACCCAAGCAAGGAAGAGCAGCCCTATTCCTAGAAAGAAGTGACTTTCTGACAGCTGGAAATGTAATCAGGAAATATGAATTCCCTTCCAGGACCTTCTTTTGGACAAGAACGTTCCCTGAGGCTCAGACATGCTGGCCCTTCTGTCAAGTCCTTGAATGCACCAAGCTCTGTCTCACCCCAGGACCTTTGCATGTGCTGTGCCCCCCACTTGGGGCATTCCCTTCACTCTGCCTGGCTAACTTCTACTCATTCCTCGGGGCATTTTTCTCCGACTGACGCTCTGCCTTTCCTCAACCCAACCCTGACTAGGTTGGGTGTCCTTGGGTGTCCCCTTCCTAGGCCTTGCCATCAAGTGGTTAAACAGTGGCAGCTCTGGAGTCAGATCAGGCCTGGATTCAAATTCTACAGTTGCTCACTGTGTGTCTCTGGGCAAGTTCCCTCACTTCTCTGAACCTCCATTTCCTGACCTATGAATCGGGGCTACTATAGCAGTGCCCACCCCTAGGGCGGTTGTGTGGATTAGAATGACATGAATTACCCGAAGAACACTCAGCACGCTGCCTGGTGTTCCATAAGCACTCAATGTACGGTTGCTATATATACTTTAATCCTCACAATTACAATGAATTCAATATTTATGGGAAAAAAAGATTAATGTCTGTTTTCTCTGGTAGACTGTGACGAGGGCAGGCATGTTGTTTTAGTTACTGATGTATTCGTGGTGCCTAGAAAAGTTCCTGGCAATAGTAGGTGCTCAATAAATACACATTGAATCCATAAATAGGCACTGGCATGCCTGAAGGCATTTTTTGAGGTTCTTTTTAAGCCTAGGAGGTTTATGAATTTTGAATCTTACTTGCTACAAAGGGATGAAAACAAAGAAGGAAAGAGAAAGAGAGAAGGGGGAAAAAGGGAAAGAAGGAAGGAAAGCTGGAAGGAAGGGAAAAAAAGAAATGCAGCCCCGCTGAGACCAGCCGCACTCCAAGGACCACCTACTGGAAGGGGCTGGTGTTGCAGACGGTGACGGCGGGAAAGTCCATAGCCTTGAAGCCGATGGAGAGGGAGACGCTGACCTCCCAGTTCAGGTAGGTCCTGATGAAGATACCCCATTGCCAGCAGACGAGGGAGGTGAAGAGCAGGGTGAGCACGAACCACATGGCCTTCTTCTTGGGCCCCTCGCAGATGATGCGTTTGGGGCCATGGGTGTTGGTGTTGTCACAGTACCACACCAGCAGCTCCTTGTATGTGTAGCCGGGGCCCTTCTGCAGCCGGTGCAGGCACTTGAGCAGGTACTTCTTTATGTGCATCGTGGCTCCTGCAGATACACCCGGGACGGCCACTTCAGATACCACAACAGCCTTCCGTCCCAGGATCTCCCAGTCATGGCCAGAGCATGGGCACTGGGGACAGGAAGGCCCTCTTTCTATCCCTCCCTCCCTTCCTTCCTTCCCTCTTGCCATTTATCATCCATCCATCCAACCAACCCCAAAGCATTTACTGAGTGCCTACTGTATGCCAGGCACTGAATTAGCCCCTCTGGACTCAATGATGAGCACAATGGACAAGGTTTCTTCCCTCTGAGAATTTCCAGCTTAGTGGACAAGTTACTTAAACTCTTAACTCCTCAGGTTCTCCGTGTGCAAAACGGGGACAACTGTACCTAGTTTTTGTAGGATTGCTGAGAGGGTGAAATTAGGTGAAACATAAAAAGTGCCAAGTACAGTGCCTGGAACAGGCTACGTGCTCAATATGTTAGCTACCATTATTACTAGCTGTGAGTGCCGAGACAGAGATTAACCAACTGGTTACAGAATGTGATAGGAAGGATTGGGACCCTGAGTACCCAGAGGCAGTAGAGGGCAGTGGTTAAGAATGAGGACTCTGGAGCGAAATGTCTGGCTTTGAATCTTGGCTCTGCCACTTTCTAGCTGTGTGACTTTGAGCAATTCACTTTCTCAGTGCCTCAGTTTCCTCATCTTGTAAAATGGGGACAATAACGGTCCCCACCTCACAGGGCTGATGTGAAGCCTGAAAGGAATGAGAATATGGAGAGTGTGGACTAATGCCTGGCACCTGTCAGCTACTGTTATTACAAAGGGGGGCCCCCAAAGTCTGGGAGTCCTTGGAGGAGTTGAGTTAAAGGACAGAAGAGGAGTGGTGGTGGGAGGGTGAGGGGACAGCAGGAGCAGAGGCCGATCGGGAGGGAGCCTGGGGACATGAACAGAGCTGGCCGCGCAGGGCCTTGTGGGCCATGCTAAGGAGTGGGGTTTCAATCCTAGGACAGTTGGAACCTGTGGAGACGAGATGCTGTCAACTCTGCGGTCTGAAAAGAGCGCCCCAGCTGCTCGGTGGAGATGGACTGGAGCGGGGTGAGGGTGGCTCCAGGAGTGCCGGGTGCTAGCTGTGGGTCAGCCAGGAATGGTTAACCTCTCTGAGACTGTTTCCCACCTGCGTGAGCAGACAGGGTTCTTGTGACGTTAACCAAGATAGTTGTCAAAGAGCCTGGCACATGATGGCTTCTCAGGAAATACCTGTTTCCTCCTTCCTTCTGCCCATATACAGAGCCAGAACCTGCTGAAGGAGCACCCCAGCCCTATCCCTGGAGCCCCAACTGGCCAAAGGCCACCTCCTTCGTGAAGCTGTCCTGACTCCCTGGCTGGAATGAGCCCTGCCCTCCTCTGAGAGCCTCTGCCTTTCTGGGGGCTCTGTGTTGGGCAGGGTGTTGCCTGCTTCCCAGCACCCTCTCCCCTTGCTTGGATGTTTCCTCGGGTGAACCCCTCCCCCAGTCTCAGTTGGTGTGAGTGGCCAGGCTACCATCCCTAGCTCTGGGCGGGGGGTGGGGGGGCTCACATGACCCCAGTTTGGACCATTAGACTCAATTCTGTTACTTTATGTTGGAATAACTGCGTAAGAGACCTCCTTTTTAGGTAAGACTACTAAGCTGGCGGTATTTGGCATCACAAATGGGGAGACTGCCTGAGGAGAAAGCCAACATAGAGAAAAGCAGAGCCACAAGATGGAGACAGGTTCTGACAACATCGTTTGAACACCTGGATCCAGCCATTCCTGAAGCCTTTTATTCCTGGACTCAGCAGATATGGGAACCAATAATTTTCTTTCTTACTTATGCTGATACAAGCTGGATGTGTATCATTTGCAACCAACAGAGAAAGAAATTCTCTGACATAGTTGACATAGTGACATAGTTGCTTGTCCTGTGGCTTCTCACTCCCATGAGATCACAGTCCTCCTGAAGGTAGCAGCACTGTATTCCCGACAAGCCCAGCACAGCGCCTAGGACACCACTGAATATCGAAATGAATAACGCCAGACCTTCATATCTACACAGAGATCTTAGACTTACCCAGGCACGTTCACTCCTGACCTAACTGTCTGACACAGTCACATTCCTCACCTGCCTGGCCAAAGCATTAAGGGCTTTACTCTCTTAACACCCCTGCCTCTGCTCTCTGATGGAAATCAAGCTCCAGGTGCCTGTCCAGGCCATCACGGCTGTAGGACAGATGTTCAGAGACTAACCCAAACCCCACCTTTCCCAGAGGACCCAGTCCCTGCTCTGGGATAATAAAGTAATAATAACTACAATAATAACAACTACGAGGGCAACATTAAAGTACTAAGTGTTTACCACGATCCAGGAACTGCAATGTGCTTCGTATGTTACTTCGTTCCTATACATTTTTATCCACAACCTTAAACTTGCAAAGAATTGGGGCTTCATCTGTCTCAAGGCCCAAGAGGTGAAGAGCACATTAGGCTCCTATAAATAGTTGTGGAAGAAATAGACCAAGGGCCTCTGTGACATCTACCCTCTTCCATTCTAGTTTAACCATTCTGATTAAGTCAAGAAGAAAGTTTTAGGTCCTTAACAGCCACCTAACCCCCTCTAATCTCCCAGTTTGACAATGAGGCCTCAGGCTCGCTCAGAGCCCTGTCAGGCAACAGTATCTGTAACAACAACCTTCTGTTTTCACTGGGTTTCTTTCTAAGAGGGATCTTCTATTTATGGCAAGAGACACTGGCTTTTGCTTTAGGTTCATAAATACACTTAAGTTAAAAAAAAAAAAAAAAAAGACCTGAGATTGGTTCAAGATGGCGGAGTAGAAGGACATGCTCTCACTCCCTCTGCGAGAACACTGGAATCACAGCCAACTGCTGAACAATCATCGACAGGAAGACACTGGAACTCACCAAAAAAGATACCCCACGTCCAAAGACAAAGGAGAAGCCACAATGAGACGGTAGGAGGGGCGCAATCACAATAAAATCAAATCCCATAACTGCTGGGTGGGTGACTCACAAACTGGAGGACGGAAGTCCACCCACTGGAGTGAAGGTTCTGAGCTTCCCAACCTGGGGGTCCGGCAATGAGAGGAGGAATTCCAAGAGAATCAGACTTTGAAGGCTAGCGGGATTTGATTGCAGGACTTCGACAGGACTGGGGGAAACAGAGACTCCCCTCTTGGAGGGCACACACAAAGCAGTGTGCACATCAGGACCCAGGAAAAGGAGCAGTGACCCCAGGGGAGACTGAACCAGACCTACATGCTAGTGTTGGAGGGTCTCCTGCAGAGGCAGGGGGGTGGCTGTGGCTCACCGTGGGGACAAGGACACTGGCAGCAGAAGTTCTGGGAAGTACTCCTTGGCATGAGCCCTCCCAGAGTCCGCCATTAGCCCCACCAAAGAGCCGGGTAGGCTCCAGTGCTGGGTCGCCTCAGGCCAAACAACCAACAGGGAGGGAACCCAGCCCCACCCATCAGCAGACAAGCAGATTAAAGTTTTACTGAGCTCTGCCCACCAGAGCAACACCCAGCTCTACCCACCATCAGTCCCTCCCATCAGGAAGCTTGCACAAGCCTCTTAGATAGCCTCATCCACCAGAGGGCAGACAGCAGAAGCAAGAAGAACTACAATCCTGCAGCCTGTGGAACAAAAACCACATTCACAGAAAGAGACAAAATGAAAAGGCAGGACTTCCCTGGTGGCGCAGTGGTTAAGAATCCGCCTGCTAATGCAGGGGACATGGGTTTCAGTCTTGGTCCAGAAAGATCCCACATGCCGTGGAGCAGCTAAGCCCGTGCGCCGAAACTGCTTAGCCTGCACTCTAGAGCCTGCAAGCTGCAACTACTGAGTCTGCACACCTAGAGCCCGTGCTCCGCAACAAGAGAAGCCACCGCAGTGAGAAGCCCGTGCACCGCAACAAAGAGTAGCCCCCACTCGCCGCAACTAGAGAAAGCCCGCGCACAGCAACAAACACCCAATGCAGCCAAAAATAAATTAAAAATAATGATAATAATAAAATAAATTAAAAAAAAATGAAAAGGCAGAGGACTCTGTACCAGATGAAGGAACAAGATAAAACCCCAGAAAAACAACTAAATGAAGTGGAGATAGGCAACCCTCCAGAAAAAGAATTCAGAATAATGATAGTGAAGATGATCCAGGACCTCGGAAAAAGAAAGGAGGCAAAGATCGAGAAGATGCAAGAAATGTTTACAAAGACCTACAAGGATTAAAGAAAAAACACCTAGAAGAATTATAGAACAAACAAACAGAGATAAACAATACAATAACTGAAATGAAAAATACACTAGAAGGAATCAATAGCAGAATAACTGAGGCAGAAGAACGGATAAGTGACCTGGAAGACAGAATGGTGGAATTCACTGCTGTGGAATAAAGAAAAGAGAATGAAAAGAAATGAAGACAGCCTAAGAGACCTCTGGGACAACACTAAACATAACAACATTCACATTATAGGGGTCCCAGAAAGAGAAGAGAGAGAGAAAGGATCCGAGAAAATATTTGAAGAGATTATAGTTGAAAACTTCCCTAACATGGGAAAGGAAATAGCTACCCAAGTCCAGGAAGTACAGAGCATCCCAGGCAGGATAAACACAAGGAGAAACACGCTGAGACACACAGTAATCAAATTGACAAAAATTAAAGACAAAGAAAAATTATTGAAAGCAACAAGGGAAAAATGACAAATAACATACAAGGGAACTCCCATAAGCTTAACAGCTGATTTCTCAGCAGAAACTCTACAAGCCAAAAGGGAGTGGCACGATATATTTAAAGTGATGAAAGGGAAGAACCTACAACCAAGATTACTCTACCCGGCAAGGATCTCATTCAGATTTGACGGACAAATCAAAAGCTTTACAGACAAGCAAAAGCTAAGAGAATTCAGTACCACCAAACCAGCTCTACAACAAATGCTAAAGGAACTTCTCTAAGTGGGAAACACAAGAGAAGGAAAGGACCTACAAAAACAAACCCATAACAATTAAG